TGTGTTGTCTCCGGTGCAGGGGAAGACAAGAATGTCTCCGATTAAGCGATTGAGGTGTTTTGTTGCTGAATGTAATAATGAACACAGCAGTCGCCATTTACTCCCGACATCTGAGCCGCTGAAGACGTAGAGGATTTACATTACATTCGTTTTTGAAAGGAATGCGCCGATCCCCGATCTGCCTAAATCCGTTTAAGTTCGTGCGAAGTTCGGGCTGAAGTTTACAGTCTGCTCGTCACCCCACGGAAGAGAGGGGTGGGGTCAGCAGAGCTAATTAGCATTTAAAGCAACATGGACCAGAACGGCGTGCTGAAAACAGCTGATTTTGGCAGGGTAAAAAGGGTGTTTTTTACACTACCATTGAGAAATTTGGTAACACTTTCTATGAAGCCCATATTTATAATACATTATAAGGGTATTCGTAAGGCATTATAATGAATGCATAATGCATTATAAAAGCCCTTATAATATGTTATATCATCTTATGAATATTCATAAGAACAGTTTTAATGTTTTATAATATTTACTTATTTGTGTCAGATATCAGATCAGATGAATGTGTAATAAGACATATTTGCTTATATGTCTATATTATATATTATATATATATTATATATTATAACTATTTTTAATGTAATATCAGTTTGATTATTTTCATGGTTCCCCAACAGACAAACTGACTATAAGTAACTCTGCAAGTACGTCAACATTCTACCAACCCTAACCTTAACCTAAGCCTACTAATACTCTAATGAGAGTTAGATGACATGTAGTTGTAAATTAATGAGAGATAGTTGACATGTAGTTGTAAATTAATGAGTTAGTTGACGTAGTTGTAAATTAATGACAGTTAGTTGACATGTAGTTGTAAATTAATGAGAGTTAGTTGACATGTAGTTGTAAATTAATGAGTTAAATTTTAGAAGAAGAAGAAGAATCAGAATCAGAATGAGCTTTATTGCCAGGTATGTTTAACCAAAGTATGTTATAGACTTTTCATTAAGACCCTAAAGAATCATATCAACTTGTGGAAAATGGGCATCCGATGACCCCTTTAAAAGAAACTTTTCAGTACGGAATGAAATATAGTTGATTTGCAATCTTCACTTTTAATTGCATCCTTTTCAGAGAGTTTTTGTGCATGTAGCACACCTATGATATGTTAAAATGTTGCCTACGTAGATATTAGAACACATTTTATGGTATGTAAATGTAAGTTGTAGGGTACTCACTGTTTTTGAGTCCAGCTCCGGAGGGTTATCGTTGATGTCAGTGATGCTTATGAGGGCCGTGGCAGTGTTGGACAGGCCGAAGTTCAGGCTGCCCTCCATATCGGTGGCCTGGACTATAATGGTGTATTGAGACACTTTCTGAAACACAACAGAACATGGCCATTTTAATCAACACATCACACATGCAAATCAGGACTTAGTAAATGAGGATTTACCACATATTTTATACAGTTACAATTAAAACAATAATAATAAAAAATATTAATTATGTTTTTTTTCCCCTCCTTTTCTTTTTCCCGACACAAAAAATGTGTTATATTTAACTTCACTTCTGGGAATGACTGTACAGAAATGATATCAGATGGCAGATTAAAAATTGTTACTGAATAATTACTAGGTTATATCAAAATAATATAGTAAATTGTAATATATACAATGTCTTTTTTAAGTGTATTGTACTGTTTTGCATTTTGTAATGTCTGTTTTATTGTTCTGCTAATGGACCTTGAGTCTATTTTGAGTCTATATATTTTCAGATTTAATTTTAGTTTTAATAATGTAGTTTTTATTTATTTCAGCATTATTTTAATGAACAAAAACAAATGTGAATAGTCTTAGTTTTTGTTAACAATATCAACACTGCTCCCAAATACCATGGTATTACTACTAGTACCAAAAGTTAGTGTTTTCCCTAAAGTATGACTACAAACCTTATTCATCCATTTTCTGTGATGGAACAGCCGAGCGGTCCAGAAGTTTGGCATCTAAGCCTGAATAAAGCCGTCTTACAAAGACTTTGAGACTGTGTATATTTGGGAAATGGCGGCTCTTTGTGTTTGTCTGTGGATACGTCTGTCTGTCTGTCTGCTTGCATGCAGGCTTTTCTGTTAATTAGGACAAGAGGATACAGTGAGCTTTGTTTTGCTTTGATACTTTGTCACTCACTATTTATGGAAAGACACACACCCACACGCATACACACACAGATAATCAGTGCGCAAAAACAACTCTTCATCAACGGACATGAACCAGCCTGTTTGTAACCACGGATGAAAAGCAGGGGTTGCGAGGGCAACAGATGGATAGAAACATGTGCGCACACACACATTGAAGTGTTTGTTGTTGCATGGCCAATGTTCCTTTGTGCACAGATCTGAAACTGTTCCCCTGTCCATGCTCAGGTGAATCTGACTCCAGTTAGTCCACACTGGGAGGAGACAGAGAGCTGAGCCTGAGCCAAAGCCTCTCCTCTACCTCTTTCAGCTCCAGCCGTATTAATCCAGTTGGCCAAAAGCCTTCTGTTGTTGCAGACAGGAAGTGGGGGGAGTCAAGGACAAGTCAGCGTTCCACTGAGAATGGTCTGGGGACGGGTGTCTTGTAGGGAGGTGGCTGACTGCTACTGTGAAGCTACGAATACCCTCGCAAGAGCTTGCTGGAGATCTTGATGGTTTTACTTTGATGGCTTCCTTTTGGTTTAGCAGATGTGTATTGTGCATAATTAGCAGCATAATTATGCTTCTAAAGCCAGATTCATACATGTGTGTATCCTTCACAAGAAAAAAATATATATATTGTGCCTAACATTTAATGATTTTTTTTATCTGACCAAAAATACACTAAAAATACAGAAATATTGTGAAATAATGTTGCAATTGAAAATAAAAGTTTTATTAATATATTTTAAAATTAATTTATTCCTGTGATGGCAAAGCTGAATGCACAGCAGCCAATTACTCCAGTCTTCAGAGTCACATGACATATCAGAAATTGCTCTATGTTGATTTGTAACTTTAGAATTTTTTTTTTATTATTATCAATGCTAATAAAATAGTTAAATAGTTGCTTAACAATTTTGTGTAAACTGTGTTTTTTCTAGGATTCTTTGATGAATAGAAAGTTCAAAACAAACAGCATTTATTTAAAATATAATTTTTTTGTAACGTTATAAATGTCTTTATTGCCACTTTCGATCAATTTAAAGGGATAGTTTACCCAAAAATGAAAATTCTGTGATTGAAACACATTGTCACTGTCAACTGAAATGATCCCAGGCCCAGACTAGTAAAGACATTGTGAAAATAGTCCATGTGACATCAGTGGTTCAACCATATTTTAACAAGTAATTTAATAATGTCCTTACTCGGATTTAATCAAAAATATATTAATCTGTGTTCCAAAGATAAACGAAGGTCTTATGGGTTTGGAATGAGGGTGAGTAATTAATGACAGAATTTTTAATTTTGGGGTGAACTGTCCCTTTAATGTATCCTTGTTGAACATCAATTTATTAAAAAATGTTGAGAGTAGCATGTATCCTTCTCGATATTGGACAATTCTCTGATATTCAGCTGTTGGTGGAAGTTTCAAAGTAAATTAATTCATTAATGTCTATTTTTTTTAAACTTCTGATTCCATTTCTAATAGGAAATATGCACTGTAGTCAATAAATATTCATTTGGTTATCTCTAAAGCTCACTTGCATTTGTTCTAGCTCAATGGACGTGACCTTATGATGCCTGGAAGCCTGTCTGAAACCAGTTTCCTTAGCGGGAACCTTCATTCAAAAACTGTTTGTTAATTAACTGACTGACTGGACAAGTCTTTCAGAATCTTTTTGTCTTCCCATCCATATTTCCCTCTCCCTCAGGTAGCTGTATTTAAGAGGCAGGTCAGGGACTCTTCAGAGGAGCGCTCACGGTTTTAAAGCACTTAAAGAACCACAGAGTACTGCAGACACACACTGAGAAGTCATTAAAACCTGCGTCTTCTCGTTAATATTGCCCAGTTCGGCTCTATTAATGAGAACTCAATAGCGGCTGACCTTTATTAACACCATAATGAAATATCAATACTGTCTCCTCTGGTTATGCTCTGCAGAGAACAAGAGAAACAAATCAGTGTGTAATTAATCTCGCACACTTTTCATACAGCGCCGGCTGCGGGGATGGAGAACGTGACGCTAAGAGATGAGCTTAAACACATTTCCAGTCCTGAAGAGAATGTAAAACGATTACACCTCAGGACAACTGGCAGAATCTCGGCGACTTGAGAGCAGATCCAGCGAGAGCCGAGTTTCAGACTCTCACATGCTTGAGTCAACTGTTAGGAGGAGCATTTCACAGCCCAACGGGCCCTGACCTCACTTCTCCCCGACACCTCGCTCGTTCCCTCGGGAGAGAAGGGAATAGGAGAGGTGATAAGGGGAAGGAGAGGAGGAAAGTGACGGTGGAGAAGATGATAGTGGAGAGAGTGCAACCAGAAGTTATGATTCTCCTCATCTCTCACATGCAGGAAGCTTTGGATCATCTGGGAATGACTGGGACACACGCACATGTACTTCACACCGATCGATTCCCTAATCAGGCGCGGCAGAGTGGACACGTTCTAACCCAGACCTGACACAACAAGGTAAGCGCACACACACACACACACACACACACACACACACACACACACACACACTCACGCGCAGAGCCCACACTTCACACCGATCGATTTCCTAATGAGGTGCGGCAGAGTGGACACGTTCTAACCCAGACCTGACACAACTAGGCAAGCGCGCACACACACACACGCATGCACACAGACCACATGGCCTCTGGCAGAGACAAGAGACAGGTAATGAAAAGCAACAGCCTGGACAATCTGGCTCGAACAGATTCACAGAGCTGCACAGACAGACATGCAGGGCTTTTAACACACACAGACAAAAGACACAGCACTGCCACTGCAGAACTTTTAAGCGCTTTGATTTTATGTGATTCAAATCCGTGACCAAACACTGTGATACATCAATAAGATAAATGAAATGAACATTTATGCTACATTTGGTTGAAAAGCACCATGGGATTTAAAGGGATCATTCATGTATAAATTCAAACTCTGTCATCATTAACTCATCCTCGTGTCTTTTGAAATTGATGACTGACTTTCTTTTGTAAAACACAAAAGGAGATGTTTATAACAGATTGTCCAAGCTGCTCTTTCTAGTGGTGGACCGATATTTTAATGGCCAATGCCGATATCGAAGGGAGCAGAGTGGTCAATGACCGATACCATAAACTAATGAAGACGGAGAATGGTAGCTGTTGTTCATCTGTGCTGGCATCCTCTGTACAGTCAAAATAAAAGTCCTGCTTCTTATCAGCCAAGCAGAAAAACGTATCGGCTAATGCCAATAATTAAAATAATGACAGATGTATCAGCCCTGGTCACATATCAGTTGACCACTACTCTTTTCCAAGTACATTTCAGCCTGTTTTTTCTAATAAAAATTGTGATCAAAATTTAAAACGTTTTTTTTTTTTCAAATGTCAAGGGCCAGATTTACCAACAGCTTGCTACAGCGCAAACCGTCTTTTGGCGTTAAAATAGTACTGTCAAGATTTACTAAAGATGCGCAGTGAAGAATTAGTGCTGAAAAGGCAGGGTCACACTAAATTTTGTGCCTGATCTCATTGAATATGCATTTGTAGGAGTTTCCCTTTCAGATGCAAAATTTATGGGTGGATAATATTAAAATGAATCACGCAATGTGATTTACTAACGTTTGTGCTCGTCAAATTACTGGTATTTGTGTTAATATTATACGCCCAAAAAAAGCATGCGGTAATTTGCACTGCTCTTGGTAGATTGCGCTGGTCATTATGGAAATGATCTGGCTGCGTCTGTGTTCTTTTAACGTGCGGTCAGTAAATCATTGTCAGTAAATCACCCGTAGAATTTTCCCCTCCCATCTGTGCTTTTATTAGGGCTGGGTAAAAAATATCGATATCTCGATTTTAATCAATTCTCATTTTTACAGAACGATATTGATTCTTAAATCCCAAGAATCAATTGTTCTAGCCTGTTTTTTTTTTCTTTCAGTTAATGGACGGAACATTGAAGGGCACCTCCCATCCAATAAATCGCAATATCTCATGTAATCGCTCAATCAGTGTTTCAGACGTGCAAAGACGTCAATATAACGGCTTGTAAACAATGTCACCTAACGTCACATTTACCTCAGAAAAACATATTCGGTGACCATAAACTCATTAGTCAGATAGAAAAATAAACTGTAGAGAGGGGCATTTTGCTAAATGTATGCACCATATAACATATACATTATCATTTTTTACTGTTCTTCAATGTTTATG